CCACCCTGGCGAGGCTTGGGTGTTAACGAATGGTCGATACTCGATTGCGGGTATCCAGGACACGTTTTCATTAAACAGATTACTATTACGCCTCGATCGAATACCGATGTACCTTGATCTTACGATTAGCAAATCGCGATTATGGAATGCAGACCTTGGCCAATTGAATTGCACTGCAAGCGTCGGTGAAAGATCAATACACGAGTTGAAAGATAACGCGAGACAGAAAATTTCGATTTTCAAGTCGCTGAGAATCTTAAATGATGTCATTCAAATTACCAGAATTAATTATCTTCCTATTTTACACAACTGATATACTAATAATTATACTTCCTCTACTTACGCATGTATAGTACGCTCGTACTCCCACGTATAAATAATTATCTACACAGATACTTCCGGAGATTAATTCAAAAATTACATCATCGATTGCGGAAGAACTATCAATTTTCTTGATCAAAATTCTTTGTAAAAGATAATAAAATTATAAAATATTTTAGAATAAAATATTCGATGAGAGAGAAAATATTGGAATTAAATCTAATTTCGGTTTAATTAGATTAGATTAAAATTTCCGGAGATTAATTCAAAAATTACATCACCGATTGCAGAAGAACTATCAATTTTCTTTATCAAAATTCCGTATAAAAGATAATAAAATTAAAAAATATTTGGGGATAAAATATTCGATGAGGGAGAAAATATGGGAATTAAATCTAATTTCGGTTTAATTAGATTAGATTAAAATTTCGTATCGAAAGTTTGTGTCTGTATAGAGTATATAGCAGGAGCGGAATGCGTAGAATGTTCTATTGGAAAGTGTGCTGACCGCGTGGAGCAAGGCATCGCGAAGGGCGCCACCAGTCGGGTATAGTCCGCCGGCAACAGGGCCCGCTGAGTCCTAACCTGCAGGGTTTTTTAACGCCAGGTACGGCGTGGGTGGGCCCAAAGCGGTAGGCTGGACCAGCCAGCCTCGTATCTGCATCACGATTCGGTTTTTGTAACGAAATCGCCCCGGGAATCCCCGGCGGACCCGACTTCTAACTCGCTAATCCGATTTCGCTCCGTTCAACCTCGAATCTACATTCTGGTGACTTCTTTTTAGTTACATCCCACGCGCGAATGGCAATAAAGCGATAAACGTTAAACCCAACACGTTGCTGCTCCTAAAGTTACCTTAAATTTCTATTCTCCCAACAGCGTGTCATCATTTTTGCAAACTTAATATCCAATTTTTGTCAATAATAATTTCATATTTAATACAATACATCAAATATCACTACTATACGTCGTTCTAGTAATTTCACGTGTATTTTACATAGCAATATTCGTATGGAAAAATTCCTGCAGATAAAATATCGGAGAAAATTGACAGTGAAGGTTTCGAGTATGGATGAACACGGCGTGCAATTCAATCAAGAAACCAAAAGCAATTACTTTGCTCAATTAACCAGACAGAGAACATCACAGAAATAGGAAAGAGTAGAAAAGAGAATGGAAATTAGAAGAACGATGTTCGATGTATTCGCGGTGAAAAATGAAACTGCAAACGGAAAGAGGAAAACGATAATGAACAATAATCACAGAAGACCTGCAACATCCTTCCTTTCACATCCTCCATGCTCTTCTGCCGGCCCCGCTCGTGATCAATCTCTATCTAGCATGATGGAATCAGCCCGTGCATCGATGAGAAAAAAATCCTGGGTGTTTCGAAGCGGTGCAATTTCAACTTCCCCTTTCGACGTTCCGTACTCGATGAAATGGCAGGCAATCGGAACACGCGAACGCGTTTCATAAACGCTCGTGGAAAAATAGCAATGGAGGGAACTCGGTGAAATCGTCGATATCCGAGGCGGAAGTAGTTCTACAGGCGTTTGCAACCCCGTTACTAGCGGGTCGTTTCGCGTTTTCGCATAAATTTCCTCGAATCCGGGTCGTATCCGGGTCGAACCGGAAACGCGGTTCTCCGGAGAGATCCGCATCACGGACACGCAGATTTTCGCAAGAGATTCTGCGACCGTGGACCGTGGGAGGATGAACGAGGCTACCGACTTCAGATACGAGAGAAAATCTTCCATCTTTGTTAGGCTTGAAAGACTCGGACTTTGATTATTTCTTGTTAAACCTGGTGCGGCGTTGACACTTGTTTGATCGGATTCTTTTGCTCTTTGATTGGAAATTAATTTGAAGACACGAGGTAGGTGGGGATAGAAAGACGGAAGATAATTAGGTGTTATGTGATACAGACTATTTGCTAAATAGTAAAGGTGATTGAACTATGTGTTAGAGATGGTTAACCATTTTGGAGTCTCTCATAGCTGTCATTTCCGATTTTTCTCAATTTTTATAGACTTCGTGATGTTAGAGGCATGATTGTGATGTTATAGTGATTGATTCGTTCATGGAAGAGAGCCGTGTGTATATTCGTAGATTACTGTGAATATATGATAATTATGCTTGTTGTATTGCTTGTAAAATTAGCGTGCTTAGGTGAATGTAATTGTGTAAAATCAGTCTTGCAAGGGTCTTATGTCAGATGAAACTTTGGCTCAATGTACGTCGAGTAGATTTCGGTTGTTTGCTAAACAGCTGGATTAACGATCAAGAGATCAAGAGATCAAGAGATAGATAGATGATTTCGTAACATAGATCGGCGTACCTTGTGCTAATATTAACTTATTTTAATTAATTAATTAATTAACGAATATATTCTCATCTTCCATAACTATCTACACATATCACAATGTAAATAACTAAAATCCGATCTCCATTAAAAATTATTTGACGAACCCATTTCAGTGTCCCTGGTATTCCAAATTAGAAACATCGCAATATCCCAAATAGTGAACATTTATGTACCTGTTATCATAGATAATCTTAAAATTTAACAACATCCTCTCACTCACACGAGAATTTTAGACAACCCTGTACGTCATCCAGGGACTTTGTCGTGTTTAACGACGGTCTTCATTTGGGGTTCAATTATGCTCGCAAAATATTCGAAACAATGGCGTGGCCGGCGCGTTTTCGAGTACTGCGCGAGACATCTCATTTAGCAGGTGCTCCGTACTTGACAAGGTAATTGCGTTACGACAAGTTAGTAATTGCTCTGTTTTGATCCGTACCCGTGTAAACGTCGATTTTTGCGATCGACTAACGAACAGGCGCCTTTTGCAGTCGACACACGCTCTAACGAGTGTTATTTTATTGACCACGACAAAGTGTCATCCCTCTAGAGATGTAAAGAAAAAGAAAGAAACGCGAAAGAGGCCACGAATGATCAGAATCGTGGAAAAACCCCGATAATTTTCCTAATTTTCACGATCCAACCGAGAATCGATTAATCCATGCTGGAAAATATTTATTTTGCATCGAAAACCTATTCGATTCGTATCATCGATGAGTTTTATTGGTCAAGCTAGATTGTTCGTCGGTGTTCAGAAATTTTGTACTGCGGGTTTATTTCGGAGTGGCTAATTGGTTAGTAATTATAATTTGAGGGTTTAATTAGGTGGTTAATAGGAAACGAAGATAGTTTACGACCCGGGAGCCATAAAGTCGGAAGGAAGGTTGTAAAAGGGCCTTACATAGGACGCCAAGAAAATAAAGTAAATTCGTTGGGTATATCGGTTACTAATTAACCACCTGCAAACGAGTACCCCGTAATTTAATTCTTCTGAACTTCCATGCACGTAGGAAGCTTCCTCGACTTCAAACTTTTATAAATTTATAATCATCTTCTCCTGGAGAATATAGTTATTCCGTCTATCGATCAGGAGGATTAGAACTTCGCGAAAAATCCTACATAACAGAGGCTATAAAGGAGCCTATAAAACTAAGAAAATTAAAAAAGGGTGTCGTAATTATTAAAAGCTAAAGGAAGCTTAATTGTCGCGGGTAAGAATACAAACTCTCGAGCTCGAGATTGAGTCATTTCAAAGTCTCTTGTATCTAACCAAAGCCCAGTAATAACGCAAATGCAACAGAGTATCGCGCAGGTGTTTGAAAAGCTAATTTAATTCGCGATCGCGTCTCCGCGCCCTTCATATTTGCGTTCGTTATCCGCGTAACTAACCGTGCTCCAATTAGCCTTCGTCGCAACAAAATGTCCAAGAGTCGAATTTACTCTGCCAAATATCGAAGCGGATCGTTAAACCTCGTCGCTATCGCGATGGGAACGTGCGTGTCCCGCGGATTAATTAAAACACAGCACGCTGTTTATGTAAGCGTAAACGTGACGCGCACGCGTACTGAATCAACATAGGTGTCGACCCGTTATACAATCCGTGGCGTAACAAGCCAAGCAATTACGAGGCTTTCAAGTCGCCGCGAATTATGTCAGTCCATCGTTCCGTGTACACCTAACCGATGGATCCAGCCCGTTTTCCCGGGCTTATCGACCTCGAACGAGGAACAACGATCCTCCGACACGCGACGTTGCAACGGAAAAATGAACGCTGATTCGATGATGACACCTCTTTCAGCTGGAACAATGACGCTTTGCACGAGCGGAGCGCGTAGAACATAGCCGCGTGTCGAGTTCCGCGAATTTCACCAATGGCCGAAGGGTGGGTTTGGAATGATCGAATTCGTTGGTTTCCAGTTGGGCCAAGAGGGTCCAGCCAGGTTGCAATGGGATATTGATTATCCGAACCATGGGGGGATATCTGTTTGCAATGTAATCCGATAATTTCTGTTGTTTGGCAAACCCTGTTTTCGTACCCCAAATGTAAAGACTGTTGATTACGCGAGCAAACATGGCCACGGTAAACGCGCAGATAGACATAACGTAAAACATAACACGACCCAACTACCACAGGCTACTTCATCCACTTACCCGCACCTATCCATGAAACGTAGAATCGATAGGTACAGTAGCTCATCAGACTCCATTCAAAATTTCCTCCGCTGTTCAACGACATTGTCACTCTCTCTCTCTCTCTAGACCTATCCAAGAAACGTAGGATCGACATAGTACTCATCGGACTCCTCCAATTCAGGTGTCCCCTAAGAACGCGCTCCATACAGCCAGCTCGAGCGAGCCTAGCGCGCCACTGAGAGAGTCGATCCGGCTCTCGATCCAATCGGTCGCGCGGCTCTCGCCGACTTTCACTCGCCGTCCGTTGATCGGCCGTCGAAGGAGCGGGCAAAGCGGAAGGCAGAAGAGACGCAAGGTGAAACACCGTCCCCGGTGTCCCTCTCCGTCTCTGGTCCCGGGTTGACTGACCTCGAAAGCGCGAGACAGGAGGTAGCCGGGCCGAGTCGCGGGGATCCGCGTGAAGCAGAAGGAGCGTGTCGACGACGACGACGACGACGGCCACGACGACGACGAGCGCGACGAGGAGTGGCCGAGAAGAAGAAGAGCAAATTGGTGCTCCCAGTAGCAGGGGCCCATGAGCGCCATGGAGGAGAAGCTGCGCGGCGTGACGAAGCGCGCCAGCAGACACGGGCCGCGTGCAGCCGGGCCAGTCGCGTCCGATTGGTCGGCTAGCTCTGGCGCGAGTGGTGGGGCGAGGGGCCCGGCCCCGGCGACCCCCTCCACCTCGCAGGCCGGCGGCTCCGCGTTCAACCGGCCCCAGGAGACCACGGGACCGACTAGGCGCCAGTCCTCGCGGGACAGCGGCGACGCGACCGGCCAACAGGCCCCACCCGAACACGGCGAGCTCCTTTTCAAGGTCCTGCCCTCTCTCCTGATACTACAGCCTCCCGCCTGTGAGCCGGTTCTCGAACGAGAAGGAGTGCGAACAGGGTTGCTCTTGCGGTTCCGTCGAACCTCTTGGGCAGGGGCTGACTTTGCCAGCGTTCTCGCGCGTACGACTGGAATGTAAGGGAGGAGTTTCTTCTTTGTTCTTTGCAATCGAATCACGTCTTTGGTGTCCTTGCCGTCGAGGTACGCAATGACGTATCGCAGGCGTCATTTTTCTAACAGGCTGCCAAGAAGCTCGTACGCGAGAGGTCAACCGCGGTGTGGGCTGAGAATGTTCTAAATGGGAGTTTAATTTCGGAGTTGAATGGAATCTCGGTTTAGACGATGAAAGCTCCCTATTCCATGTCGTACGCGTGAAATCGCGTGCTTAAATTGTTTCAAAATTGGATTCTGTTGGTAATCGTTGGGACTCAGGTCAGTGGTGCTTGTCATTTGGAATATCGAGCACCGATCTATCGCAAGGAGGTATCGCAATTGCAAATTGGAAGAAATAACGTACGGAAGGACTATTTAATTAACTTGTTAATTATTTTGTAACTTTTAAATTGATTTTCGATTATTAGTGAATTAATATTAGAAACTTAGGTTTCCAAACGCATTCATAAACGCGTCGATAAATTAAACAATTGAAGACCTTTTGCGAAAAAGAGATCCATAGATCCACGAATCCTTTTGTTCTCTCGCCTACGTTTACTCTACATTAGAACTAAAACTTCTGATTAAATCGCAATTTACTTCATTCGCTATTTTGACTTCTCCGATAAAGCTCTAACTCCCAGCTCTAAATTGATGAATAGAAACCGAGTAAATTACGCTATTTTCCAGACTCGCGATCTCCTCGGTAACTTTATCCTTCGAGCAACGAATCTTCCAATTAGCCATCTTCGAAAATTCATGAAACGTTGCTCTGATCCGGATACCGGTTCATGGAAACAACTAGTTTCGCCATTTCTTTCCAGTCGCCCTTCTACAAGTTAATTGAGACATACCGCGAATAGGCCATATTTTACGAGCGTGATTTACGACTAATCGAGAACGATCATTTGCGGTTGTGAATCAGGAATAGGCGGTTCCCTAGACATAGCAATCGGAATGGAAATACGTCGATACACGCGTTCGTTCATACGTCCACATTGCGAGCAGCTGGAGCATAGATCTCGCTGGATCTCGATCGGTCGAAACGATATATCCGATAGCTCGTTAATTACACGTTTCTTCGTCTCAGTTTCTACGAATAAGATAGCCACGTGAATGCGTTTGGACACGGACTCGTTGCGTGATCCACTTCGATCTGAGTCTCTCGACTGGTTTTCGTCGAATAATCCAGAAAGTGCTACTGGATTTAACGACCGAGAGAATTAATAATTATACCTCGTTTACATATATTTGCCGATTCGAGGAAAATTATCGGAATTATGAATCTTGTTCTAGTTTTAAACCGACTCGTATAATTTTAAGATCGGGTGGAAGTTCGATCGAATAATAATTCGAATTCATTATATCTCGGGATAGAGAATATTTTCCCACGATTTCGTTGACATTTTCACAGAAAATTTTCACGAAACACAGGTGATGCTACTCGGCGACAGTGGCGTCGGGAAAACCTGCCTTCTGACGCGGTTCAGAGACGGCAGATTCCTGTCTGGCAACTATATAACCACCGTGGGCATTGATTTTAGGGTGAGATAATCTAAATCCTCTTCGGGAATGTCGTAGACGAAGATAAATCTATTTTAAGAACGCAAAGAGACGTTTCACCGAGACTGGAAATCGGTGGCAAAAACCGAGTGACTGTTATGAAATTCGCATAGTCTAGAGGATCGTTCATTGGACGGGTATATGAATGGTCTCTGTGTTTCAGAACAAAGTGGTCGTCGTTGATGATACGTCTATCAAGCTTCAGATATGGGACACGGCCGGCCAAGAAAGATTTCGAAGCGTGACGCATGCCTACTACAGAGATGCTCATGGTAATTATGTTTTTGTCGTAAGTTTCTGCATGAAATAGACAAAAAATTGATAAAATTCTTGGTTAATTGCATCAAAAGAAGCAAAATTTAATTTTAATTAATTTAATTTTCGTTAATTTTATTTTAAATCCTCATTGAAAACCGAAACATTCAGGGATCAATGCACGGAAACAATCAGTCTGAGGTCAAAACGAAATTTATGACAGAAGCTAATAGCGTACTTATGGTAATAATAGTATAATAAAATAAAAATGAGAATTACGTAAATTAAGAGGCCTTTTTTTAATCATAATTCACGGTAGACAAGTTTTCGTTTGCCACGCGCAAGCAGCCTTTCATTTACGAGCAACTTTGCGTGCAGTAATCAAGAGACAAGGCGATAGCGAAATTGCTGGTTTGATAGACTTGTCTGAGACAGGAATAAAGGACAATAACTGACAATTCATTGCGAGGCATAAATTAGCGGCTTCTCTGCTACGACTATGATTGCATTGCAATAACAGCGCTTGGCGTATGTCCGCGCTTAAACTTCCATTTTAACGTCCCCGTGCTGGCAATTTTAGTCGTACGATTCTAATCGAACCTAATTACATTTTCCCGCAATTCATCACAATACCGTAAAAGCTAATTCCAGTTGTTTCGCAATTCCATTTATCGCGAGTGTTTACCGCGATCGACATTTCCAATAAATTTCCGTTGACATTCTCGCTGCGAGAAGGCAACTTACCTAACTCGATGGATTATCGTCAATTATCACGTTTTTGCTAAACCAACGGCCAATGGGAAATGACACGACGCAAAAGTGAAAAAGTCCGTGTGCCAGATAATCGAAATGCTTATGAAGTTTTTCACGTAACCGGTAAATACGGTGTGCAAAAAATCGCGAACTTTGAACAGACTGGATATTATGTAAATTGCGTTATACAATGCGATATCGCGCATAACTGCATTGCAAGTATGCAGAAACGATTTCTTCGCCGGAAACTGCGAGATGAAAGTTCGCCTCTGACTATAGCGCTCGACGGGCTTTTCGAATCGGCAAAGCAAAACCGCTTTTCACAGAAACCGTAAAAGCACACGTACTAACGATAAGCACAAAGGTCTTGCCTCGTATTTTTCCATTTACCGAGATACGTTTAAATCTGCAAAGTTACGCTTGCCTTTTTACCAGACGCGTTGTAGCGAAATTGGAAAGACCTAAGATGTGCCATAAAGGACCAGGAAAGGTCGGATAGACCTAGGGATCCCTTTTCCAGGAACTTGCTCTAGGAATTGCTCCATCATCGAAACTTCGTGTTTCCCGCAGACAATATTTTTCGACGGCGCCGTGAAAACGACTGGAGGCTCGAGGCGGGCGTTAATTTTGGAAAGCTACTTAAGCGAATTCGAGGCAAAGGAAACCGGGAAGGAAACGCAGCGTTCGCCGTAGGGAGTCGGCCATTGTTTGCGCGGAGAAACCCTCTTTCACCGGAGACGCGGTCGCGACAATAGTTGCACGTTTCAAAGACTTGCTAACAATTACGCCGCGGAAACACTTCGACAATGGTGTCTCCATCGTCGGATATTACCCGAACGACCAAGCTTTCGCCTGTGAGCTTTAACCCGCGATAGAACGCTCGTGGAAAAACAATCTTTCGAACGGGCAAAGAGGAGGAACGCTCGGGTCGAGTTGATAATTAATGGAAATTCAAAGTGGAACGAACGCGGACGCGGTGTGCTGAATCGACGTGAAAAATCAAGTCAAAGCTGTGTAACGAAGTTTTTCTTTGATTGCACTTTTTGATGGACACCCCAGATATCGTGGAAACTGTTAAATTTCTCTTTGGACGGATGAAATATGAAGCGTGCCTTTTAATCTCGACTGTTGATTGCATTGACAACTCGTTGGGATATTTCTATCTTATTCTTCAATTTTGTTCCATTGTTTTTATCTTCTTTTAGTTCAAGATTGACTATCCCAGTGATTTGCAACGTTTTCTATTTTCTCATGCGTGTAAAATGATTATTAAAATCCTGCGACACATCGAAATGTATATTTCTTATCAATGTGACGTAAAAATAGCTGTTACTGCACTGAGTACTGTCATTTGCATTGTATTTCACTTCTTTTAGTTGAAGATTCACTATCTCAGTGATTTGGAACGTTTTCTAATTCATGATAAGTCTAAAATAATTATTAAAATCCTAGGACACATCAAAAAGTATATTTCTTATCAATGTTACGTAAAAACAATTGTTACTGCGCTAAGTACTGTCATTTTTACATTTGACAATCTCATTAAAAAGAGCTCTGTAAATCCAATTAAACTGTTAGTCGTATTTTTTAGAAATTCTCACAACACGCTCAAAAATGATAGGACACATTAGTATGCCGCGACATACTGGTTGAAAATCACTGTACTACGCGAGATTCATTAAAATCAAGAGTAACATGGCGTCTGGCGACTGCCTGAATTCAGCGTTTGCCCTTTTCGTGCTAATTCCCTCGACCAAAATAGCTCTCGTAATTAAAATCTTATCTCCTGGACAAGACTACTAAAATCATCTTAAATTTCATGCAGCAATTTCCTCCATGAAAGGAACGGGAAGTATATTTACAGGAAAGCCGACCCAGACAGCTCTAACTTGTAACCCAACCGCGTTTGTGGTTTATTTAAAATGCAAGCGAACAAAGGCGAATTATATATGCCAACGAAAACACGCGATCAAAAGAATATTCCTCGGAGAGAATCGGAACGTACAGAGAATTGCTTCAGAAATTTCTAGTCCAATGCTTTTCCGCGAGTCACCGCAGAGAACAAAGGACAGGACGCTTCGTTTTCCCGCGTCGCAATTTGTCTATCCTGAAAATATCGTTTCCCCCGACGATGGAAAAGGAGTGACAGACACGAACGCGTGCAAATTTCAGCGGCCAATGAAAAAGGGTCGAACAAACGGGTCGTTGCATAGACGCGCAATAATCATGGACAATGTCACGTAGAAACTTTTGTTTCCGCGTGTCTATCAATTACCAAGACCAGAGCTGGTTGCACAACGATCATTATTGGTTTCAGCTCTTTTATTGCTGTACGACGTGACGAACAAGACGAGTTACGACAACATCAGAGCCTGGCTGAGCGAAATCCGGGAACACGCGAACGAGGACGTGGTCATCATGCTGCTGGGTGAGTTTCGATTATTTGCATTCGGAGAGCCTCGGTGGAAAAACGGTGAAAAGGGAA